AGGTGATTTATTGGCACTAATCTGCCACTGTGATCTAAATAATGGAGATTTGGTTCACATTTTGAACACTGAATAAATGACTTCTGTTTGTTTCTGTTTTTAACTGCTGTTGAAAACTGCTCTCTTATCTGGAGTCCAAATTAACTTTTTTGTGTTATATACACATGGCTTAGCCTGTGCTGAATTGATATTCCATCTTCCTGTTTGGAAGAGTAATTTCTTTTTCTTTGCTCTGAATAGATGTTCATTCCTTTCCTTTTTTTTTTTTTTTAAAAAAAAATCCAGTCCATTATGAACAGTTTTGTGCTGTATAACATACTGGCTATCTTTTTCCTGTTCAAAGTGAGACATGCAGGACAGAGCAGTGATTATGAGTAAAGATTATGAATACAGCAGTGGTAAATAATCATATATTTTGGTTTACTGGTTTTTTTTGGAACTTACTTGTAGTTTTGACGAGCATCTGGCATACAGTCTTACTGAATGCCCTTCAGATATAAATAATGCATTTATCGGGTTATCTGCTGAAATGTTTTGGGTTTTTTTTTGCCACTGTCTTCTACCTTGGAAAGCATTCTTGCCTGCAAATAGCTGCTGTCTTTCTTGTTTTGCTAGTATTTTCAGCATGACTCATCTCCCTGGCTCTTATTTTCTGCTATTCTTGTATCTACAAATGGCAGGCAGTGCTGTATCAGTATGTGCAGAGTGCCAACTCTTGAAAAAATCAGTTTTGAGGCTTTCAGGGGTGGGAGGTTAAGCATGACCCATAGTTTATGCCATTTGGAGATGATCTTATAAAGCTGACAGCCCAGTGCATTTTGTAAAATCCCTGGCACTAGTTCTGGTTTTGCATCTCGGTTCACCCCTCAGAACCACACGCAGAGTCTCACAGTACAATGTGCTTTATACCCTCGCTGGAATATTTGCACTCTTTCAGACATGTATCTGTGTGTAAAGAGCTGTCAGTTCTATACATATGAATAAAGGAAACTTTTCTGCTATTCAGCAGATGCTCTTACAGCTGATTAATATTGCAGAACTTATTTGCCTTGAGAACACAGGATTCAAAGGAGTGATGTACTTCCACTTGCATCTATTCTAAGTTAATCTTAAGAGGAAAATTCTTAAAGAAAAGTCTGCATTATTTGAATAACTGCAAGGTTGTCTTGTCTTCAAGAGAAAGTAAGTCAGTTTCTTAAATTACTGCTGTGTAAATATCAGCATTGCTTCTTCAGCGAAGCTTGTTATCACAAGCATTTGAGTTGCCTTACAAAAACCCACCAAAAGCAAACAAACCAACCAACCCATTTGCTTTTCTGATCAAGCCCTTCTGAAAAGTCTTTGTTCACTAGTGTTCATTTGATCTTTGAGACTTTTCCTGGCTTCGGTCCTGTCATACAGTAATCTAAAGCAAGTCTACACGGTGCTTACTGATTGATCAGTATTGGCGCAGTTTCTTTGCAGTTGCATCTGTGTTTTGTGTGGCAAGGGAAAATGTGCAGGGGGCTTTAAGAGGTGGTTGTAAAGGTATTTGCTGTGTCTGTGTGAGTTGTAAGAGGGGCTCCAAAGTCTCTGCATAATGTGGTAGAACTGATTAGAACGGATTTCTTTGGAAAGCAGTGTTGCATTTTTTGCAGGTGTGTTTGGTTGAGCTGTGTGCCATCAGTGCGAGACGGGATACTGGACCAGGCGGTAGGGGTGCTGGGGAGCAGTGCCTGCCATCTAATGAAAAATTACTGGGAAGGCATGGAATTGCAGGTGAAATTACTTTCACCTAAAAGTGGAAGATACTACAAGGGATAGTGGCTAAAACTAACCTTCCATAGGTATTTGAGGTTTTAAATAATTACCATTTTCAGTTACAGTTTACTTTCTGTTACAAGAGAGCTGTTAAATGAGGACGTCCTCATTTCTCAAAACAGGCATTTATTGGTGGCATTATGTGGTTTCTTACATAAAATGTGTCTGTCTTCTATATTCCGTTAGTGCCTAAGCAAGCCGTACAGTGCCTTGTCATAAAACACTTTGGGGTGCCCTAGCTTTTGATTTAGTAAGGGATTAAGGAAAATTGGGGAAGAAAGGCCCATTTTTGACTGTTAAGTAAAAAGCATGCCATCTTTGACTCGGGAAGCCTCTGAGCCCTGAGTATGTGGAAGGAATTGTCTTCATCTGTTTGCCCTGTTGAACTCTTCCCTAGGCATCAGCTGTTGCTCTCTGCTGAAGAAAACACACTAACGCTGTGTGGACCTTTTGACGATGCTGGCACAGCCGATTCTATTCTTTGTTCTTATTCCACATTGAAGCACTGAACTTGATCTGTCGATTGTGCTTCCTTGCTGTGTGCACGTGTGTGCAACAGTGGTGATAAATTTCGTAAAGCCAAGACTGCGGACACTCCTCTCGCGTGGCCAGCAAGGGCCCGTCCCAACTGCTGCCTCGCTGGGTAAGGCGAGCTTGCAGGCCAGCGTGGCTCTGCTCCCCCTGTGCCTGACGAGGGCTGCGTTTGGTTCCTCGTGGAGCATGAGGAACAGCCAGGTGGGGCAGAGCCTTTATGTACCGGGGCAGCGAGTATGGCGTTGCTCTTCCCTTGAACTTGATCAAAATGGGAGTGCTGCTGCAGCAGCAGAGCCTGCCTTGGTCTGTGCCCCCGTTGTTTCTGCAGCGAGCTAAGAGAACGGCATAAATCTAGGATCCTGTTGTGTGGGTTGCGTCACCCTGCAGCATCTCCTCGCTGGGTGCGCTGAGCCTGACACTGCCGTTACAGAGACCTGAAAAGCTTCTGTGCAGCGTGTAGCGCCCAGACAGGAAATTCAGGAATATTCATATATTTGTATCCTTTAAGCAGGGATAGAATACTATTTTAGACTATGTCTGAGATTTGGGACTATTAATAAAGAATATCCCTTGGTAATAGGACTTCTGGCAGCTGTAATGCAGTACAGTGCTGTCAGAATTGTAGTAGTTAAGCTTCCCTGCAAGGTTAAGAAGAATTATGCATCAGCTGAAACTGATACTAAATATATGCTGTACTTTCATGCTGGTTACTTGATAGAGTGCGTTATTTCCTTGAATTGTCCCCTGTACCAGGATATGGCACCCAGAAATTCATACCTTCTCTTCCCAATTTTAAGCGTGCACTGAGATAATTTGTGTAACAGTTATGAGTAATTCAAGACAAAAAAAAAAAAGGAACATCTAGAAAATATTCAGTGGTTCTTTTCCATTACAGACAGTTGTGAACCGTTGTATCTTTAATGATTAAAAAAGCATCTTTGTTACTAAGTTGTCCTTCCTTTGTTTGTCACAAACCCTGAGTCACATTCCAGGTAAGAATTTGCTCCTCAGAAATGTACAGGAGAAAAGAGAGTTAACTTTTATTTTGTCAGCAGTTAACTTTTTTCAAATAATGTTCTGTATGACACTGTCTTCCTATCTGTGGACAGAGATGTCCTCTAGCAGCACAAACTTAAAACTGGTTTCTCAGTTTAGCTTTTTGACCTTGGTGAGATTGTCAGGAAACGGGGCAAGTTGGTGCTTCTGTTACTTGGGAAAGTTAAATATTGAAACTATCAAAAACCTGATTTTGGTATTCCTATCTGTGACCGTGATGGCTACATGTGGCTGCTGAAGGACTTTGTGTATCCATCACTTGAAAATGTGTTGTTTAAAAGAGCTTCCTCAGAAAAGAGATAAAACTGTTAAGATGATGGCCATTGTATACTTGTTGCTGAATGGCACACGAGCAGTGCTTTAAAAAATAGTATAAAAAATCCAGTGAAGTTTCTTATGACCACATCAGAGCTCACTGTAGGACGGAAAGAGGCTTTTCCCTTGTCTGGAAACTAAAATTATTTAGTGCTTGACAGGTCTTTCAGGCTCTGAAAACATAACTGAGACTTTCATTCTGCTAAAACTCTTTGAAGTTTTGTTAGTCAGGGCTTTCTCTTCTTGTAAAGAACGGAACGATGCAACACAGTAGAGTTTTAACAGTAATACAGCAACTCTTGACTTACAAAATCTACTTTCCAGCTTCTGACATGCCAAACCTTGTTACACTTCCCAGAATGGTATTGAATCCATAGCTGGTAAGCTGGTACTGCCAGGTTTGCTGTGCGTAGCCCCTCTGCGGGGTTGCACTTGAGCCAGTATCCAGTTTAAATGGTTCACACATTATATTTTGATGGAAAATTGTTTTTCATGTCCAACTTCTTTTTTTGATACGTATTTTTTTTCCATGTTTAAAATGCTACATAAGTGCATGTAAGGAGGTATGTAGTTATCCAGTTTACACAATATAAGTCATGTTGGAAAATTGTGAAAATCGTAGTGGTATATTAGTCTGAAGTGTTATTATGCAATTAGATTGGTAAACTCAGATCCTAGAAATATAATTCCATCTTTGCTTCCTTTAAGGATTATATTGTATTTCGCAAAAAATCAAGGACAGTAAATTTTGATGCGTATTGATTTGCCTTGACACATTTTTGAGAATGAAGGAAAAAAAAAGGCTTCCTCATTTTTTAATGAGGATTAAGGCATTTCATTTGAGTGTTTTCTATTCCTCCAAGCATCAAAGTCTGTGTCAATTCTACATTTTGGTTCTAAACTAGTCATATTTTCTACTGACATGGTGTTTGCTAACATGTTGGGGTTTTTTCCCCCCATAGCTGTATGATTTTGTCTACAGGAAGGTTGCAGACTTACTGTTTTTGGAATAAACTTAAAAAGTAGAAAAATGGAAAAATTCTTGAAATACATACACATCATGTCTTTTGCCATTTGAATGGGTCCGTATGTCTTTAAAACCACCAGATGCTTCGAAGTCTTTCAGGTTTTCTGATATATACAATATTGAGAACTTGTGTTGCTGGGAAGACTGAAGGGGGAAGAATGAAGCTCATTTTACTTGTTTGGTGACATCATTGCTATAGTAGTTTTTGAGGTACATAGTGGCTACTGGTAGATTTGCTTAAAAAATAACTTTTATTTTTATCTTTTAGTCTCCCACAAAAGCTGTGTATAATGCTAGACACTGGAACCAACCAGAATCAGAGGCTCTGCCAGCACCACCGGTTTTGAAAACTCCCAGTGTCCCAGTAAGTAGACAGTTTGTTTCTTCTCAAGTTTAGTAAATCTCCTTTTTAAGATTCACTGATATTTTTTGAAATGCAAGTTCTTGATATCTGGTAATGTCACAGTAATTCGGAATGAAATCCACTTTGTGATGTGAGCCATTAGATATTTGATAGGAAAGAAATTGTCAGTGGAAATACTCTAGAATGGGATCTTCCATATCATTTCAACGTACAGATACAAAAAACCCCAACTTCAGTCAAGTTATGTTCCCTAATCTGCTGAAGTTAAGCTTTCTAACAACAGACTCAATTCCATCTTCTGTGCTACCCTCTAGGATTAATTTGCTAATGCACATAGAAATCAGCAAGTTGCAGGTCAAAAAGGAAAAAACTTAAAAAGAGATACTTCATTTATTTTTCCTTTGTAATGGAGTAAAATATTGTGAATTGCTGACTTGAGTCTTCAGACACCATGAAAGCAACAAAATTTTCTATATGCGGCCAGAAATGCTAATATGAACATATTGGTTATAAGCATGTCTAGAAAAAGTAGAGAAGAGGTGAAAACAGTTCTTGAAGTGACTTGTTTGTTCAAAAATCAGTGATTGTTCCAAGGCTTAAGGTAATGGTTTAACTTTTTCGAGACCCCGAGAATCCAGTGTCTTGGGCTTATATATGTGTAAACATTCTTACCAATTATGCCAAGAGAGCATTGTACATTGTCAGTAATCTTGATTTTGTTTGGTGCCTTGCTTACAGTACTTGCCCGAGAACAGAAAAACAGAAAGTAGATATTTTTGCAGTGATAAGTCTTCAGCTTTTGTTGTTGTCACCACCAGTTTTGGGGGGAGTGGGGCGTTGTGTTTATTTGTTGTGTGGTTTGGTTTGGGTTTTTTTTGTTTTTTTTTTAAATTCCACCTGTGTGTGTGTTGTTCTGATACTAGCTCCTCTTTGATTTATGGTTGGTTTTGGTTGCACCCTCACGTTATTCTGAACATCCTTCCTTCGAAGTTAACTGCACTGGAAAACGCAGATGACAAAATAACCATTACCACTAGTGCTTGAGGAGAGAGTAGGAATTTCAGCCCTGGGTTTCCCCTTGAACCCCTTTCTCAATTTAAATTATGTGCATTTGAACTGAAACTTTTGTTGCTTACTGAATCTTTGTATTGATGCTGACTCTTGAGAAGTAGTCTGATAGCTAACTTAAAGGCAGATTTTGTCTGAGTCTTCTCAGACAGACTTTGAATATATCCTCTTCAGGCTAGAAAAATGTCTGGATCATTTATATTCAGGCAAACTATTTTGTCTTCTGTCAAACTGCCACTTTAACTGGAACCATCAAAATATTAATTCAGGAATATGGCAGAGGTTTGGCTGAACAAACCGGTTAGGGGAATTTGTATCTGCTCCTCATGTTGTGATGTACATCTGAAGTTACTTCAGTCACTTGGTTTAACCTTGATTTACATATGTATGATCAAGATTTTAAGAGTTACAAGCTAAATGAGCCTTGAACCAAATGTTCAGCCGTCATCCCTGGGCAGCTGATTCTGACTCTTTAATTTTGGTAGAAATTTGTTACCTGAAGATTTGGATACATTTGTCTTAGATTTACGGTGAAAAACCCATAGCATGCCAAGTGCTTATGCCAAATACTCGTTCTTACGGCCTCTCCAAGATCCCTTGGAATTTGCTTTGAAGGAGAAGCCATTAACCAAGACTTGGATGAGCTACTTGAGTGGCTCGTCTGTGTTCACAGACTGATAAGATCAGAGTCCTCCAGTATGTGCTCTAAAGCAGCTTTTCAGGGTGGTTTATTAGCATTTTGCCACTGGAGCCTAAGCGAACAAATATTGAAGTGCTGCACAGTGATAGAGGCAGCACGTAAAGAATAATTCGTTAGTATAGCAGGTTATTTTGGCTTATATTTTAATTTTGACTGTCAATGTACAATGCACAAGAAGGCTTTCTCTCAAAATAACCCCATGGAGTGAATTACAATTAGTGCATCCTCTATGCCTGTGTATTAATTCTGTTTTTTTCAGTCACACTTTAAAAAAATTCTCATTTTTCTGTGAGGAAACTTAGTACATGATGTTACTTAGAGCTTGAGGGTGAGTAAATGACCACTGGCATTGGCATTTGTACATCTAGAATTTGGCATTTGGAGGTCTCTTGCCTGTATGCCTTGTTTTCTGTAGTTTGTCTTCACATCTGAATTTGTGCCAAAGAAGTAATCTGAAGATAAGCTGACACTTAAGCTTACCGTAGCCTCAAACTAATACAGAGGAGTAGGTTGAGGAGAAACCGGTAATACTTGCCTGAGATGGCTGGAAATTTGTCCGTAGTTATTCTAGACCTAATAGCAAGTTCTCTGTTACCTGCTGTAAGTTCAGAATAGGTTTTGCTCTGTCTTGTGCTATAATACGTTCCTAAAATATTAACACAAATATGAGTAAGGGCAGTGTATGGAGAATACTGTGAACTTACAAGAGCACACTCTTACCCGTTTGAGGTACGCACCATGCCTCTCTTATTTCTCTGTGTGGCAATTTTTTATGGTGCTACAAAAATTATATTGGTAGTCTTCTGCCTACAGGCAAAATACAGTTTGGAGTGTCAGGTTGGAGAGGTCAGTTCTCCGATAGATAGCTGCACCCTGAGTACAGTAGTTCCGTAGCCTCCAGTAGTTAGAGGTGAGAACCATAGGCAGAGTTTTCCGGTTCAGGCTATGTTGAGACAGTGATTGCTCAATGCTGTGCTCGTATTCAGACCAACGTACTTAATGGTGGTTCAGTATAGCAACCAACTCACTCAGTCCTGGAAGCTCCAGTGTAAGTGGGTAAGATACTTGTAAGTGTCAACAAATAATTGTCTTTAAACACTGAAGTGGGTTGGTTTACTTACCCTAAAGCTTAAGGAACCAGTATAAAGGACTTTTTTCTTCTTTATTTTTAGTTTCAGAATTCCACTGGAGCTTTCCTGACTACTTAAAACTGGGTTTTGTATTTGAAAATGCATATAATTTCTGACATCTTAATTTATGTTTTTTAAGAGTAGCTACATTGTCACACAGCTTAGGTACATCTTGGTAGTGTAAGGCAAGAACTAAATAGTCCCAAAATGTGAATTTGACAATTGCACACCTGTACTGTTTCCTGCTGTATTTAGTGTATGTTTACATGCTCAAAACATCTGCCCATTTTAGCACTTTCTTATTAATAGGTAAGGCTATCTTCAAAGGAGGCAATTCATAAAGATGATGGAGTTTTTAAGGCTCCTGCACCACCTCCCAAAGTGATTAAAACTGTGACAATACCTACTCAGCCCTATCAAGAGATAGTAACTGCATTGAAATGTAGGAAAGAAGACAAAGAAGTAAGTATTCTTAACAAATTTTTAAGCTAAAGAATTATTGGTAATCCTAAGTACTGAAGGAACAGTGTCAAAATGAAATTTGGCTTTCCTATTAAAGATGATAATTTTATCTAAATAGTTGAATGGCCTTCGTTAACTTCTTAACGTTTCCTTTCACTCAAGACTGAGTAGATTTTAAACTTTACTTGTTAAGTTTTTAATCAATCCCAAGAGCAACTTACCTAGGTCAAAATATTTGTCTCTTCCAGTTATACACTGTTGTTCAGCATGTAAAGCACTTCAATGATGTAGTGGAATTTGGTGAAAATCAAGAGTTCACAGATGATATTGAGTACTTGCTAAGTGGATTGAAGAGCAATCAGCCCCTAAACACACGTTGCCTTAGGTAAGATATCTTAATATAAACCACTGAACTTATATTTAAAAGAGATACTGAATTAAATACTCATGAATGAAGTGACCATGCTTTAAAATGTTTTTCGGGTAGTTACCTGGCACTTCTGCTATAAAGAATAAAATTTGAAAATAGTTATCAAAATGGTATCTTGTGAATAATCAAAAGTAGTATGACTAGGAAGATAAAATAGAAAGTTGTCTGGTAAGAGACATCTTCAACACACTTGTTTTCCTTGCTATAAATTAAAAAAAATACTTTGGGTAACCTTTTTTTTTGTTTAGTGCAATCTTATGTGCAGTGCCTGTTCTGTTTTTTAATGCAAAATTCAATTTTAAAGTAAAAACCCTAAGACTGGAAAGTTTGCTGGCTGTAATCTAGAACTAATGTAACATTGAGATACTGTTTAACTCAAACCACCTGTTCTTTATCTTCTGTTGAGAAATAACATAGCTGGCATCCACTGGAAGTATTGTGGCCTTGATATTAATTGGAAGCTTCCCTAAGTTGTCTTGAACTACTCATTGCACTCTTAAGTTACACATTATCACGAAGTTAGTAGCAAAAATGTCAGTCTTGCTTTGAAAAAGTTTATGACTTCATATTGGTGTCCATTCGCTGGACATAAAAGTAATGAGACTGATGTTCTGTAACCATGTAGTAATCTTTTTTTTTCCTCATACTTGTAAATTTTCCTCTCTGTTTAGCAAAACTAAAATGGTAGAGAAGGGAAAACTTGAATCCACAGAGTAAGGTGATGAGGACACTTTACGTGAGATTTGACTGTGGTTGAGAAAAAGCTTTGTATGCTTTTAAGAGAGTTTTTTTTAAAATGTATTCTTCACAGTCCTCAAAAACTAGCAATGACTGTTGCTGCTGGAGTATAGACACAAGAAATCTATTTTCCAGTTTGTATGTGCATTATGATAAGAATAAATTAATACCATAATGACAGTTTAGGAGTATTTTTCATATTGAGTGCACTTAATTTGCTCATGTGGTAAGCTTCCTAAGATCTCAAACTGACTTTTTTACTTTCCAAATTTATATCATGGAATGTAACTTGTATAAACACCATAAAAATTTTTTCTTTCAGTTAACAAATTAAAAGAAAAGTATTTTTCCAAAGGATATCAATGTGTAAGGATAGGAATATACGTAAAAGAATCAGAAACTGGTAGGTAAGCTCTAACTGGTGCTGTTGTGATTGGAGACAGAAAGACCAATTGTACTTTAAACGCCATACCGTATGAATCTTTTCTAGTAAGGTTCCTCAGTACTTGTGGAAGATTTGATTGCAGAATCTCTCCTGCATTACTCCACATTTAAAAGTAGTATGTGTTGAATAGTCTGTATGTTGGGCTGTGCTAGAAACAGCAGACAGCTCGCTAATAAAACCAGGGGAAGACTTCTGTTTTTAAAATAGAACTGTTACGCTGATCACTGGTTAGATTTCAGGAAAAATCTGACAAATAGATTAGTCTATAGTGTTTCCATCAATCATAAATGCCACAATAAATATTAAAAATGTTTGGTTTTTTGTAAAAGTATTGTCAGGCATAAGGAGGACTAATCAGTCAATTAGGTAGATAGCCGCTAGATAGCGATGGAAGCTCACGTCATAATTTCTGATAATGCCTTGGTCCATAATAATGTCTCCTGTGCCTCTAAATCAGAGCTTTGTGCTTAATCCATGAACATTTTACTTTCAATTTAACTCCTTGAAATCATTTCAACTTCTGTTTGAAAGACCAAGTTTAGGGTACCCTTTCAAATCCTGGTTTTAGCCAACGTTAAACAAAGCGGACATAGTTTGGTGCTGGTAAGCAGCTGTTGAATAACATGTTGCTCTGTTCACCAGTTACAAACTTGCCATATACAAATTTTAGGAGAAACATCCCGACAGAGTTTGTCAGGGTCTGAGGTACATGGTCAGTCACGTTTTGTAGACTTGCTTATCTGCCAGCTTTGTAAACATGTTTGGTTTAGTTCTAACCCAGAATTAATTTTCTCTAGTGTAATCAGCTTGGCGACAAAGTGCGCCATGCCCAGCTTCCGAATGCATCTGAGAGCACATGGGATGGTAGCCATGGTTTTCAAAACACTGGATGATTCGCAACACCACCAGGTATGGATAAATTGTGTATTTCATTGAAGTTTGATGACACCTGTCTACTTTGTGTGAATTTTGTGTGCATGTAACTCGAAGTGAAGCATCCAGTATAGTGTGCATCTGGGATCGGTGGCTCCATTTTAGAAATCTGTAGTGAAATTAAAAATAAGAGCACCTGCGTGCCAGTGGCAAATTCCCCTTCCAATGTGTTTGTGCTTCTGGGTTTGGAAATTATTTTAAAAAGACAGACTGTGCTTTGGATTGCTGTTTTATATCTTCTCTTTAGCTTTTTAAAATACTTTATTGCTGTATGTATAATTTCCTTCAAATGAAATACATTTGAAAGGAATCCTTTCTCTTTGTATTTAAAGATAGCTCTAAATGGTCATCTCCAGACTTACTTTTATGTGAATTATGGCCTTTACTGTAGCTGTTGTGGGGCATTTTTCATGTCCTGTGCTTGTCTCCTTGAGCAGTGCTGTAATTGCAGCTGTAGGATGCCTTGAGTATGTATGTGCAGCGGTCTATGATAAATCTGGGAAAGGTAAATTTTAACTTACTTATGGTAACGTGACCCAAGTGTTAAAAACTTGAAGCAATTTGTGTTTTCCTTATCAACTTTACAAGTTCAATGCAGCTGTAATAGAAAACGCTTCTTGCAGCTGATACTATTTTTCCAGTGGTTGGAAACAGTGCCTCTGTGGGCTATCCCTTGAGGTAGAGTTACACAAGCTGAGCATAGGAGATGTTGCTTGGAATCGGGTTGTAGATATGTATATCCAGTCAGGTTTATTACTTTTATTTAATAGCTCTAGGAGAATGACATACAATGCAGAAGGAAACTTTGCACCCACAGAAATAGACTTTTAAGAGGTTGTATTTGACATCTTGCGGGGGGGAGTTGTAGAGCTTTAACTAACTAATTTAGAATAACAGCTTATCTTCCATCTGCCTGAAAAATCAGCAATGGCTAACTGTAAAATAAAACATAGGAACCAGGTCCACTGCATTCATTTTGTGAGCTGTCAACATAGTGCCAAGTGATACTAGAAACGAATAAAGTATAGTCATGCTATTTAGGACAGTTGCTACCGCTGAGTTGCAGGAGATCTGCAGAGGACAGCTAGAGTTCCTTGGAAAGTCTGCAAGCTTGCTCTGTGTATTTTTGGATGTCTTTTAACAGTTACCATTATTCCTTCATTTTCAAAAGAGCACATACAGTTCAGAAGGAAATTGCATGCTATTATTAGTCTGCAGTAAGAAAAAGCATTGATTGTATTCACTATTTTCAGTATATTTGATGAAACACTCTCTTTTGTCAGGAAAAGAAGGTAGTTAATGTTTTAATATAGTTACAGTGCATTCTTGGTACAGGTTGATGAAACACTCTCTTTTGTCAGGAAAAAAAGGTAGTTAATGTTTTAATATAGTATTTAATACAGTATTATAAAACCACTGATTCATCAATCTGCTATTAATAAATGCTAAAATATGTGCTTGCTCTAACTACTGACAGTATATGCTTCAACAATGACCACCTGCGTGTAAGCTTGCTGTCTTTATATACTACCCTTTCATTCACTCGGTATTTCACTAAAATTTGAACTGGTTCAAAATGAACAGAAATTTCTCCACTAAAACTCAATGCAAAGTAACTCAAGAATAATAAATCACACAAGGCTTTGCTTGCATGGATCAAATCCATTTAAGATGAGGAAGGCCTGGGGAAAAAAATGCAATTATTTTGTTCATAATTTCTTCCAAGTACTATGGAGATGGGAAGACTGCCACAGTGACACTGCTAATGGAAACAAATATGAGCATATACTGTATTCATTCTACTGATACAATGGAATAGGCTGAGAAAGTAGGGGACTTGTATGTTTCTGAAAGAGTATAAAATAGCAGTTGCAGAGGTATTTTTTTAACCAGCAAGGAAAACAAAATAACTAGTTATCTTACTGAGCTATGCCCCAAAATATTTACATGAAAATTTCTCGTTCTGTCAAATTTTTCTTGTAGTTTTGTCTTTAAGCTTCAGTTTCAGTTTTTAACTGACTTTATCTCTTCAGCTATGCTCTAAAAGTTTTGGAGTATTGATTTTTAAAATAAAAATTGTATTTTCATTATACCTGTCAGTAGTTCAGCACAGAAATGTGGTTTTGTAATGTCTTCAGCATGTGAATAATTAAAAAAAAAAAAGTGCATTACATGTAGTGCTGAACCATAGAAAATAGCCATCTGTTCCCACAAGCTGGAGTATAAATAGAACAAGCAAGGGAAGACAAGGATGAGAGTGGGTGTGAATGGTCTGCTGTTTCTGGAGTGTACGTTCAACTAGGATGTTTTCCTGAATTCTGTAGAAGTATGGAGTGCAACTCCATAGTTAGATACGCCATGCAATTTCTGTCTAGAACACATTCTGTTTATTTTACTTTTTTCTCCTCTCCACATTTGTTCGGAAACAGAATGTGTTTTAAGCATCTTGAGGAATAAAACAGGGAAAAAAAAGCCCATCTCAAAACCCAGCTTCACTACTGCAATGCATAGGGGTGGGATTTTGAGGGTTTGGTTGGGTTTTGCGGTGGTTTTTGGGGTTTTTTTTTTTAGGATATTGATCAAAAATGAGTTGTAGCAACAATTTTTCCCTCATTCTCAACTCAGAATTCTGTGCATGGTTGGGCATGAGATGACTTTCAGACAACGTAATTAACTGTTTTTAATGCTTACAGAAGGTCAGAGCAAAATGCAGAGTTGTTATATTCAAGATTAAACCAACTTGCATATAGGGACGAAGAAAAATGGGTTTTAGAAAACTCCTATCACTGGCGTGTAGCTGAAGCACGTTTGTTCTACGTTATAAGCACCGTTCACATTTGAGATCCTTACTTTTGCAATATCACTACTTTCTGCATTTGGAGGCTTATTGGCCTGATTGCCTTCTATATGATGTTGCAAGAATTAACTGTATTAACTGCCGCATAGTTTCTAGTTGATAGCAACTCCTATGGGGGCTTAAGCATTTTTTTAACCAGGAAGCTTGCCTAGATTATGGTTGTCACTAGAAAATTGTTCTTCATAGATGTTGCTTTATTAGGTCCCACATTGGCTGAACAACAGTTAGCGGTGTAACCTCTGGTTTCTCTGGAACACATGTGCTCCTGTGTCCTCTTTTAATAACTGCCATTCTACAGGAACAGAGTCTTTTTCCAGGAAACTGAAATTTCTTACAGTTTAAACCAGTTGCAAGTAAATCCAGAGTAAACAATTTCTATAATTAAAAAGATAAAATTGCAAGGTTTATTGGAGAAAGCTAATTGAAATTAAGGGAAAACAATGTATACCCTGTCTATGTAGACAAGCCGCATAAATTGCTTTCTGCCTTACATCTGACAAGGCTGGAGTAGTGATAGTCACAGCTAAGACTGTGTTTTTTTGTTTTTTTTTTTTTTTTAACGAACCCCATGTCTCGAGGTTGTATTCATGAAAGGAGAAGTTGATTTGGTAACTCTTGCTTTCTTCCTTCAGTACCAAATGCACCTTTGGTAGTTAGATTAAAGTCTTTATTCACCCGAAGATTTCCTTGACTCAGACAGGAAGGAGTTTTACCATAGCTTTTGATAAACTGTCAGCTGCCTAATCCTGTTTTGGAAATGCTGATACTGCTTAGTATGACCAGGTATGATTATTACTTGGTTCTAAAATAAACAGCAGCGGCTAATGATTGCTTTGGTGGTTGGCTGAACTCTAAACAAGATGTTAATCTACTATGACGCAGAAATTCTGCTCTTTCCTGTTGAGCTGTACAACATTCACATCCCAGAATTAGTTGGTCTCTGTTTACTTTATACAGAAAAAATTGGAGTAGATATATGCAGCGTGTTGACTCTTGAGAGTTAAACTCAGTAAGACGCACACATACCCCACACACCCCCCAGCTCTGCTTTCTTCCAGATGCCATCAAAGGTTTCTGAAAGTCTCCTTCTCTGGAGATATTCAAAACCCACCTGGATGTGTTCCTGTCCAGCCTGCTCTAGGTGACCCTGCTTTGGCAGGGGGGTTGGACTACATGATCTCTGAAGGTCCCTTCCAACCCCTGCCATTCTGTGAAAGTATTGTGCCCAGCACTACTCAGTTCTCTGTGAACATTTCTCTTCTTTACCCTAACTTGGAGCTCACCTGGATAGATGAGTCTCTTGGTGGAAGTGCTGTCCTTACCAGGAGCAGGGACAGATAGCTTTGCTCTGATCTCTTCGCTGTCGTTTCTCTTCCTCACAGTCACCTTCTGCCTTTGCTTTTGTGGATCCTTATGAAGATGAAATTTAATTCCTTCTTGAAGAAGGGTTAAATAGTCTTTAGCCAGTAAGAGGTCCCTGTACACCAATTCTATGTAAGATAGGGATGGTCAAGATAATAACATTTACTTGTTAAGGGCTGATGGGTACAGAGCAGGGGGGAAGCTGGTTTGTACTCAGGTTACTTACAAAAAGCAGAATTCCCCTGGAAATTAAATGGGTTTATGCTGAAAGGGTTTGGGTAAATTGTGGACTGACAGGCCTGCTTGGCAGAATCAGAATG